ATATATATATATGTTGATTGCTGATAACCACAAGGAAACAAGAAAACACGAAGTTCCCAAGCGCTTTCGTGTAATTCACATCTTCAGGTGTGAGTACAGACTAAGGAGAAATACTTGACAAAAAAAATATATACAGTAGGGGAGAGTGAGATCAAGTCCCTAGTAGTAGAGCGGATAATAGAAAAATCGTGCAAATGGTGATACAAGCATGAAATTTGGCATGATCATACCCTAGGGGCTACTTGTCAAATCTGCCTGATTGGCCATTTGGAAATCCAAGATCGCTGCCATTTTCAAGATGGCTGCCAAATTGACCTCCGAAAGATGATTTTTTTATAGAAATTTATGTAGTTGGTCAATCTAAATGATCTTAGTGTCGATATGTATGTTTTCATGCATGCTCAGATGATTTTTTTTTCTATTTCTGATACTCTCAGATACATATTTGTCTTATTTATGACTGGTTTTATGTACTGGTTTTATGTTTTTTTCCAACTAGGTGAGGGTAGCATGCAGAGGGTCTCTGCACGTGAGGGAGTGATTGTCGGGCACTACCAGGGCACAGTGGTGACATCACTGCTGTGCAACCCAGCATGGGGTTCAGTGTCAGCTAAGAAAAATTATGTCATACTGCAACAGCTTAGTGTCCAAATGCTGCTTAACCAACCCCAAATCAGTTAAGCAGCCGCACCTGAATTTACAGGATGTGCCAGCGCGGGAGAGCCGAGCCAAGGATAACGGGGTTTTAGTTATCTGGATAGTGTACAGATCGCACGGGACTAATGGCACTGGATGAACGATCGGACTAGGTGTAGGGCAAAAGGCATGAACCTAGTTGTATCCCATACAAGAAAGTGCTCATTAGGGTGGTAAAGGGATAAACCCTCGGCCCTGAAGATAAAAAATAGTTATGGACACAAAATCTACCAACAAATCATTCCTCACTGACTGGGCAAAATGTTGTCTTTGTCAACAGGATAAGAAGGTAGATCTTACGTCTCCACATGCAAATCCTGCCAAAAAAGGAGATGACGGTTACAAGAGCTACTACAAGACAGTGGTTGGATCGGTTCCCTTGTTGAAACAGGAGTGGCTTCATCTGGTACAGCAGAGTCTTTTCTGTCTGTATCAAGTGTAACTAAGACAAGACTAGCACATCAAGTCACAGCATGCAGCTTGTACAAACTGATGAAGGAGGCATACCAGGACTATTGCTCTGATGAGTCTGAAAGGTCAACTTTGAGCTTTGTAGACTGGTGTAAACAACGGAGGCTTGAGAGTTCCAATTCTGGAACCGTGTGCTGGACATGGAGCTCACCATCTTCATGTTGATCCGCTCATTCAGGAAAGGCAATTTCAAACTCTACCTTGAAGCACTCTCAGAGCTGATCCCCTACTTCTTTGCGAACAACAATGTTAATTATGCCCGATGGCTTCCAATTCACCTTCGAGACATGATGTGCCTTGAGCAACCACATCCAGAGGTAGCGAGGGAGTTCTACAGTGCAAGGGGAACTTTGTTGTCCACAAGTCAGGAAGAGAGTTCTCTGCCATTGCTATTGATGAAGCCCATGAACAAAAGAATGCAGTGATTAAATTCGATGGAGGAGCAATTGGGTTGACTGAGGACCCAGCAGCACTTCGTAGGTGGGTGGTGGCTGGACCTGAAGTGAGTCGTCTTGTTGCTGGATATAAAGCTGCGTCAGGTGCAAAAGATGGAACCACCACCAGCAGCCGACATCATGAGCAGACCCTGAATGCACAGAAATCTTTCTTTGAGAAGGTGGAAGCACATTCCAAGGTGCTGCGGGAGATGGGCAACCCTTTCCAAGGAGAGTCATCTGACCTTCTGGTGTTAGACACGAACAACATTGTAAATCCAGATATTGTTAAAATGGTTGGTACACACCATGACAGAGGAAAAGAGCAATTCTTGTCATTCTTAGAGGGACTAAAGAATGAAGGTAAATGTCTGTTCTACCATCCAATCAAGAAAAACAGAGCCTCCTTCTTCAAACATGACCACGTTGTTAGCAGTTCCAAAGAGAAGGTACTGAAAGATGACTGTCAGCTGTTCTCGCGACTCTTCATCTCCAGTCAGAACAGACAGTATGACTTGCAAGAATTCTTCAAGCATGAGAACCAGTCAGCTCCTGCCTCCCTCAGTGACAATGGCAAGCTTCATACATGTCAGAAGTCACAGCCGGCTGAAATTCTTCAAGCACAAGTGAATGCTACAGAAAGAGAACCACATGGAAATGCTATCATCATAGATGGCTCAGCACTGATCAATGCCCTGCCTCCACGCACCTCAAAGACTTTTGATGCCTATGCCAGAGAAGACATCCTGCCCTAAGTGGATTTTATGGTGCCAAATACAATAGGGTGGATGTAGTGTTTGATGTGTATAAAAAGTCAAGTCTGAAGTCTGAAGCCAGGTCGAAACGAGGACAGGAGATCAGGAGAAGAGTTACAGGTACCAGTAAGACTCCCCAAAACTGGAGAAGCTTTCTGCGAGATGACAAAAACAAGACAGAACTATTCCATTTTCTCGCGGAGAAAATGTGTGAAGCACAGACGACAAGCACGGTGGTTGTGACAAAGGGAGAAGATGCCATTAGCAACACAGAGAAGTCCCTAGAAGTTGTGGCTCCATGCTGTCATGAGGAAGCAGACACACGAATATTTGTGCATGCTAGGGATGTAACAATGGAAGGTAGCAAGTCCCTCATCATCAAAGCCAATGACACTGAGGTGGTCGTCATAGCAGTATCTGTACTGCCATCACTACAGGAGCTTGGTCTTGATAACATGTGGATTGCCTTTGGCCAAGGAGCCAGTCATCGATGGATTCCAGTTCATGATGTAGTTTCTGCGATAGGGCCTAAGAAAGCTAGTGGGATCCTATACTTTCATGCTTTCACTGGCTGTGACGTTGTGTCTGGCTTCCGTGGGAAAGGAAAAAAATCTGCATGGCAGACATGTAATGTCTGTGATGAAGTTTTAGAAACATTCACCAAACTCAGCTAATGTCCAACAACAGTTGCTGATGTTGACCTGCAGAAGCTGGAAAGATTTGTTGTCCTCATGTACGACAGATCTAGTGCAGCCACTGGTGTAGATGAGGCAAGACTAAATCTCTTTTCCTACAAGCAGAGACCATATGACTCCATTCCACCAACCCAGGCAGTCCTCAAGGAACATGCAAAGCGGGCTGCCTACCAGGCTGGTATCATCTGGGGCCAAGCAACAATCTCCACTCCAAAAACCAGTAGTCCTGTCAACTGGGGATGGACCCAGATGGGAGAGGCATGACAGATACGTTGGACGACTCCTCCCCCGATTGCGACATGCTGTCAGGAGCTGACCAAATGTTCCTGTAAGAAAGACTGCAACCAGAGATGCAAATGCTTTCGCTCTGGACTTTCCTGCACAGCACATTGCAGCTGCATATGTGAACAGCAGTAAATGCACAAAGATGTACTGTCAGGAGAAGTCACAGGAACCAGTGCTAATAGTGAGACCTTTTTTTTTTTAGTAAGTTCTTTTTTTTGTTTTTACTAAACGTGTTATTTTATGTTGATAAAAACGTTACAATGGACTTAAAACTATAAAAAGATCATCTGAGCATGGTTGAAAACATACATGTCGACACCAAGACCACTCAGATTGACCAACTACATCAATTTCTATAAGAAAAATCTACTTTTGAAGGTCATTATGGCGGCCATCTTGGATTTTCAAATGGCCAATCAGGCAGACTTGACTAGTAACCATTAGAGAATTACCATGCCAAATTTGGTGCTTGTATCACCATTTGCATGATTCTCTTGAAAAATTGCATTTAGCTGCCCCACTATTAGACGGATACAAAACATGCCTGAGCTCACATATTACCAAATCAACTAAGGGATGTTCTTAGTCAACGGGAACACTAGATTTCCCTTCTAGCTGGGGCAAAGTACACTTGGTTGTACTTTGACCTGACCTAACTGGGCTTGATTGACTGTCGCTGTTTCCCCTCCTATAAAGTAATGGAGAGTGAACTTGCCCTGGGTGCATAGTGAGTGAACGGAATGGTCAAACTCGGGGAGCCGGAAATCCCCTTGGTGCTAGTGAGTGCTAAATTTCCAGGGTACTAGTAGTTAATTGGTACATTCACCTCTCCAGTGTAGGGTCAACGACCTTTTGGTTGATCGCACACGCTGGACATAGGAGTGTCTTTTAAAGAATTATTTGGTGCTGTAGTACCACTTGAGGTGATGGTGTATTCTGGGCAAATGTTGTGAAGCATGTATACGGGTATTGGTGGAGGAATGCACTCGTGACTCATGAACCCAGGAGTATGGAAATAAGCGGAAAAGCCGCCTACCTGACGAGTCATGAGTTATTTTCTCGGTTAAAACAGAGCTTTGGAGTTTCGTGTGGGTGCATGCTACTGAGCAGGTTAGTAGTTACAATTTTTGGGTTCTGTAATATTATTTGTGGGTCATTCAAGACATGCTATGATTGATCCATGTTCCTGTGTAGCATAACTAAATTAGGATTGATATTCCTCAGGGGTTAATATTATTTTGTCTGATGTAATTAATGTATTTTCTATTGTGCCATTAATATCTTTTGTTATTTCATTATTGGGCTGTTAGCATTTGTGCCTAGCGATGTAAGACATGTCGAGAAATTAATCTAGTGTCTCTTGTAATAGTTACTATCATTTTCTTAGTGTTGTAAGCGGGTGCTATCAATGTAATATAGGCGATATCACTGCCAGCGTGTTTGTTTATCCCCAGTCACAGAAATCTCCAGTCCCGATCAAGGTAAATACTTATTAATTTTGTTTGTGGTGGTTCGGAATTCTGAGGGGCCCTTCCACTGCATTACCATCCATTTTAATAACAAACCCCAGTCATACCAAACACACACACACACACACACACACCTAAATTATTACCAGTCATACTCCTTGGCTCAATAATGAACACGTGAAGTTTTTCACTAACCTCCATCAACTTTCTCCTCACATGTGTGAATCTTCATCCTCAAGTCGTTCTTCCATAGTTCCTGTTTCTTGTGGTCAAGACTTGATGTAGCTAGGGCTTCGGCAGCCTCGGTAAAAGCGTTTAAGGCGAGAGTGAACTTCCCTAAACACAAGTAACACTGACCCCTACGGTCTAGCACCTGTGTGACAGAAACAAGTGTTACACCGTTACTAATAGTGCTCAAGTCATCTGTGATTATGATAACAAGTAGATACTGAAACATTTGTCCATTTAGCAAAGCTGACATGAACAAAGGATTTCCTGTACAAAATTTATTAATAATGCAATCAGATTCCCTCTCGCCAATATTCTCATTCTCACTCCATCGTAAAAATTTGAAATACAGTAATTCCATCAAATGTAATGACATCTTCAAATGTAGTAACACCTTTAAGGTAATTAACACCAATAAATTTATCAACACCCTTAAAAAATATAATTTCCTAAGTGTATTAACACCCTTTAATAATATAACGTCCTATTATAAAAGAACACTCGTAAATAATAAAAAGACATAGGTGTATTGGCACCCTTTAATAATATAACGTCCTAAGTGTATTAAAATTAATAATATAACGACATAAGTTTAATAACACCCTTTAATAATATAACGACCTAAGTGTATTAACATTAATAATATAACGACATAAGTTTAATAACACCCTTTAATAATATAACGACCTAAGTGTATTAACACCCTTTAATAATATAACGACCAAGGTGTGTTAACACTAACAATATAGCAACCTCATTTACACACAATTGCAGGGTCTCAATTGTTTCTCTTACTATTGACAACAAAACATACATATATTGTTTCTTACTTTTGATCTTTTTTTTATTTGTTTATTTCTTTATGGTTCTTTATTATTATTATTATTGTTTTTATTATTATTATTATTATTATTATTATTATTATTATTATTATTATTATTATTATTATTATTATTATTATTATTATTATTATTATTATTATTATTTATTATTTATTATTATTTATCATTTATTATTATTTTTATTATTATTATTTATTATTATTTATCATTTATTATTATTGTTATTAATTATTTTTATTTTTATTATTATTATTTTTATTATTATTATTATTATTATTATTTAATTTTCAAATTTTATTTCATTTTATTATAAATTTCATTTTCTATGAATATAAACAATTATTATTATTATCATCATCATCATCATTATTATTATTATTATTATTATTATTATTATTATTATTATTATTATTATTATTATTATTATTATTATTATTATTATTATTATTATTATTATTATTATTATTATTATTATTATTATTATTATTATTATTATTATTATTATTATTATTATTATTATTATTATTATTATTATTATTATTATTATTTTTTTTTTTTATTATTATTATTATTTATTATTTATTATTATTATTTATTATTATTTTTATTATTATTATTTATTATTATTTATCATTTATTATTATTATTATTTTTATTTTTATTATTATTATTTTTATTATTATTATTATTATTATTATTTAATTTTCAAATTTTATTTCATTTTATTATAAATTTCATTTTCTATGAATATAAACAATTATTATTATTATCATCATCATTATTATTATTATTATTATTATTATTATTATTATTATTATTATTATTATTATTATTATTATTATTATTTATTATTTATTATTATTTATCATTTATTATTATTTTTATTATTATTATTTATTATTATTTATCATTTATTATTATTGTTATTAATTATTTTTATTTTTATTATTATTATTTTTATTATTATTATTATTATTATTATTTAATTTTCAAATTTTATTTCATTTTATTATAAATTTCATTTTCTATGAATATAAACAATTATTATTATTATTATTATTATTATTATTATTATTATTATTATTATTATTATTATTATTATTATTATTATTATTATTATTATTATTATTATTATTATTATTATTATTATTATTATTATTATTATTATTATTATTATTATTATTATTATTATTATTATTATTATTATTATTATTATTATTATTATTATTATTATTATTGCATTTTCGCCCCCTCAGGACCCGACGTGGGTCAGTGACCTGTGCCTAGGTGGACTAATCCCAGTAAAAAAAAAGAAAAAGAAAAAAAAGTGTTTTAATACCCTTTAATAATATAACAACCTAAGTATATTAACACCCTTTAATAATATAACGATCTAATTGTATTAACATTAATTATAAAACGACTTAAGTGTATTAACACCCTTTAATAATATAACGACCTAAGTGTTTTAATACCCTTTAATAATATAACAACCTAAGTATATTAACACCCTTTAATAATATAACGATCTAATTGTATTAACATTAATTATAAAACGACTTAAGTGTATTAACACCCTTTATTAATATAACGACCTAAGTGTATTAACACCCTATAATAATATAACAACCTAAGTGTATTAATTCCCTTTAATAATATAACGACCTAAATGTATTAACACCCTATAATAATATAACGACCTAAGTGTTTTAATACACTTTGATAATATCACAACCTAAGTGTTTTAATACCCATTAATAAAATAACGACCTAAGTGTATTAACACCCTTTAATAATATAACAACCTAAGTGTATTAACACCCTCTAATAACATAACGAACTAAGTGCTTTAATTTCCTTTGATAATATAACAACCTAAGTGTATTAACACCCTTTAATAATATAAAGACCTAGGTGTTTTAATATCCTTTCATAATATAACAACCTAAGTCTTTTAATACCCTTTAATAATATAACAACCTAAGTGTATTAACACCCTTTTATTAATATAACGATGTAAGTGTACTAACACTAATAATATAACGACTTATGTGTATTAACACCATTTAATAATATAACGACCTAGGTTGTTATATTATTAAAGAGTATTAAAGCACTTAGGTCGTTATATTATTAAATGGTGTTAATACACATAAGTCGTTATATTATTAGTGTTAGTACACTTACATCGTTATATTATTAAAGGGTGTTAATACACTTAGGTTGTTATATTATTAAAGGGTATTAAAACACTTAGGTCGTTATATTACACCGGGCAACACAATTTTTCTGGCACAAGGTTTTTAAACGGATTTTAAGTAAATTTGGGGTGCAGAATCCAAATATGACTTTGGTTTTTGTCTATCACATCAGGTTTTTGAGATATACCATATTGCACTTTTGCTGGGAAACGTAAACTTTTGGATCAAAATTGACGGTTTAAACATGTATACATAAATTTTTTCAGCATTATAATTTGTATTTTTCTATAACCAAAAATTGTTAATATCAAATTGGAAAGTTAATGCACATATAATATTTAAATGTAACATTGAAGGGTGAAAAAAAACAATTAATGTACGGTAGAAATAGTGCAAGTATTAAGATCAAGTTACAGTTACATAAACTTCCTCTTTTTGGCCGATCTCTTATGTACAGCTTCTGGAATGTCTCTCATCAAACTCCAGCAGTAGTCCGCCATCATGTTCGAGTCCCATCGACCTTGGTAACGTTCTTCCATTACTTTAATGTCTTGATGAAAGCGCTCCCCTTGCTCCTCGCTCACTTCTCCCAGATTTTCTGGAAACTCGTCCAAGTGACTGTGTAAGTAGTGAACCTTGATACTCATTCTGTATCCAAGTGCTTGTAAACTCAAGAGCAGCTCTTCCACAATTTCTTGATAGTTGTCCGCTTTCTTGTTCCCTAAGAAGTTCCGCACCACATTAGAGAAAGCATTCCAAGTTCTTGCCTGTGCCTCAGTCATTGTTGCAAGGAAGTGTGGATCTCTGAGTAGTGTTCTTATTTGAGGTCCATCAAAAATCCCTGCCTTTTTCTTCTCGTCGCTAAGACTTGGAAAGGTTGAGCATATATATCTGAAACACTCTCCACTATGATCAAGAGCCTTGACGAATTGCTTCATGATACCAAGTTTTATGTGCAGAGGAGGAAGGACAATGTTTTTCCTGTCAACCAGAGGATCGTTAATGATATTCTTGTCACCAGGCGTCAAACTATGTCTTGGTGGCCAATTCTTTTTCACCCAATGGTCTGCTGTAGCCCTGCTGTCCCAGTAGCACAGAAAACAGGGGTATTTTGTGTACCCTCCTTGCTGGCCCAATAGAAAGTTTACCATTTTCAAGTCCACACAAATTAACCATTCATGAGCATGGTATTGCAACCTCTCTAGAACAGTCTTAATGTTTTCATACTCTTCTTTAATTTGTACAGAATGTCCGATTGGAATTGAACCATACTTGTTTCCGTTATGAAGAAGAACACATTTCAAGCTCCTTTTAGAACTGTCAATAAAAAGTCTCCAATCCTTACTATCATATGCTGGTAGTCCCATGGAGAGAAGAAGTCCTTCTACATCATTACAAAAAACAAGCTGGTCATATGAATGAAAGTACTTCCGCAGTTGCTCTTCTCTGTTGCGATAAAAGGAGACACTCGTGCCAGTTTTAAGAGTCGTTTCTCTTGAAGCCTGGAAGCTAACAATTCAGCAGACTGTTTTGGCAAATTTAGATCTCTGACCAGATCATTCAATTCTGACTGAGTAAACAACGTTGGCTTTTCACAATCTTCACCAGATGGCTTGTAAAGATCAGTCTCTTCATCTTCATCAGTAGAAACAGGTGAATTCCTGTCTATATCCTCAATCTCTGGTAGCTCAGTAAATTCTGGCACGTTACGTGATGGAGCAAATCTGAGATCAGATTTAGATTCAGCACCTTAAAGTTAGTAAAAAACAGTTAAAAGGTTTCATGCCAGAAAAAAAATTTTTTTTTTGTAGACCAGTTTAATATAACGACCTAAGTGTATTAACACCCTATAATAATATAACGACCTAAGTGTTTTAATACACTTTGATAATATCACAACCTAAGTGTTTTAATACCCATGAATAAAATAACGACCTAAGTGTATTAACACCCTTTAATAATATAACAACCTAAGTGTATTAACACCCTCTAATAACATAACGAACTAAGTGTTTTAATTTCCTTTGATAATATAACAACCTACGTGTATTAACACCCTTTAATAATATAACGACCTAGGTGTTTTAATATCCTTTCATAAT